ATAAGGAAAAAAAAATAATTAATAAAAATGATCTATAAGTATTTTTGGAAGAGAGGACAAAAATATCAAAGGAAATAACACAGAAACTGGTCAAATTTGTGCCAAAAGACTACAAGCCATATTATCGATGCTAAAAGAATACATACAAAATATTAATGTAAGTTCAACTTAAAAAATTAGTATAAGTTTTTTATTATAATTGTTAGTGTACGAATTCTCGTGTTTCTTGTATAAATTTTGCCTTATGCATTATAAAATATTTCTAATTTGTAAATTATACATATCTGTAGATAGTAGACTATTAATAGGCATAGTTTTTGGCAATATATAATTTGTTTGAAAAAAGTTATTGCCAAAAAAGTGAGTATACGAATACTTTTAATATCCACTGTAATTTTTATATAATATGCTACCATTTCGGCTCATCAACTTCAGCATGTATTTCTTTTGATAACTTTTTTACATAATAAGGCTCTATTTTCTATCTGCGTATTAGCTACATATATATGCGTTCCAAAGATTTGATCCGAGGCCGCCTCTATTCACCAGAATCATCCCGCGTGATTGATTTCATCGCATCTCTATCGAACGTCGTTGTTTTAGAATTTTTTTCCATTTAAATTTCGAACTTTTACATTTATATGCGTCTTTGATTACCGTTCAAAATTATGTCATTTCCAAGAGAAGAACAATTTAAAGTATCTCGATTTTCGTAATGTAAAAATATGAAATCGCTCGTTTCATTTTAAGAGCTCTAGATCTTATTCCAGTGAAAACAGGTAAAAGAAATTTCTTTCTTTTTATCCTCTTATTGCCGTCCGTAATGCGTTGATTGTTTACGCGTATCCTTACTCCACGTAGTAGTTTCGATCTAATTATTGAAATTATTATTAATTTTAATACTGCGTGAAATTAAAAAACATTGTAAATAAACCGCGGTCCAAGGAATCATTGACAGATATAGCATCAAAAAACTTTAAAAAAAAATTCCAAGAAATGGACGTAAACGGAAAATAAATGAGTATATTAGTCAATAGATAATTCGAAAGATAAAGCAAAATCCAAAGATAAATGCAATGAACATCGCAGTTGAACTTAAAAGTAATCTTAACACTATGACGTCCGGTGGCTCCACCTTGATGCCATTCGGAAATTATTGCTCAAACACCAATGGCTGCATTGTGGAAAATTCAATTCAAATTCAAAACTGGAGAACGAAAGAATATTGCGTGTTCTATAACTAACAGTAAATTACAGACGTAGCAACTTTGTGTTTCCATAAAAAACTGTGCCCTTCGACAATGACAAAAGAAAAAGAAGGTACAATTATACGTGATGAATGTGTGGACATCTTGTCTGATGTTCCATCCGAATTTCAAGATTGTGAGGAACTTAAAGACATTACGTCTTCAAAAAAGGAAAATGAGGCAATATTTTCGGATGAATCTGAAATATGTAAAGAGAATTCGGCGAACACTACCATTACCAAGTGATACAGAAGAATCAGACGAGGATAACAGTAGACAGTGGTCAGATTTTGATTTACCAAAAAACAATAATGCTTTCGAAGGATCTTCTGGTCCTAACGTACTTCCCAGAGATACAAACAATATAGAGGATGTCGTGAAACTATTTATAGGGAACGACTTGTTTGAATTTATTAGTACCGAAACGAACAGGTAGTACGATCAAAATTCCACCAGGAGGAAGCCCGATAAAAAAAAGTGCAAATTCAATCCTGGTTACATATGAGACGTTTTATATTCGAGCTTTGTATGGTATAGTTCGAAGCAATTATCTATGTACAAGGCCGGCTTAGCCGAACAAGTAGCACAATAGTATCTGGATTCTCTCCTTCCATGTTTTACTTTTCAATTGGAACATACGGCGCAGTCTTTACTTCTTTCTGTCTCGTCCCGCCGAATTATATGTAGAAGGCCGTTGAGTCTTCCTGCTGTTCCAGATGTTGAAGGAGATTTGCGATTAGCGTCTCGAAAATCTCCAATCAATTAATCTATCAAGAGATGCACGAATTCTATATGTTTTAACTTTTTTATATTGTATTTCTTGTGATGTTCCTGATATAATAGATAGGAATTTATGACTAAAACTTCCAATCCCCAAAAAAATAATTTTCGCCACCATTTTTGAGACTTTCGTATGAAACAGTATGTGCCTTTGTACTAGTTTGCTTTATCAACCCCGCCCATATATTTATTATAGTTTATAATCACATCTGGCTTTACAATATCAGTTCTTCCTTTTTATAAGATAATTGTGGAAAACTTTGCTGGTTTCTCTGGTAGCGACACTGAAAGACTGACTTGACAAACTGAATTTCGTTCTGACCCTACCATGGTCTCGCATCGTAAGTTTACATTATACGGAAGATAAGACTTCATCACTACAAAGTTTCTAATTTCATTGAGAGGCAACTTGACTTCATAGGTTAGCATACCCATGCGTATCTTATCGTTTAGGACGACAGACGTACGCCAGTCACAGCGCGAGAATTGGGCGGCTATTTTCCGACACTCGTCCACAAAAGGTTAAAACAATGGCAAAATTGCCAAACACGAGTGAATCTCATGATGTAAACATTAGTGAAGATGAGTTTCAGGTAGTAATTTATACAGACATGTTAAAAAAAATAAATATTAATTTTTTTTTTTTTTAATTAATTTAACGACAATAGTGATAGTGAAATCATCCAACCAATAAGAAAACAAAGAAATCTCATAGACAGTGATAGCGATGAAAATGATATAAAAGAAAACATAACGATAGAAGATAAGATCACAAGTGAATTGTGGAAAGACGTCACTGAATCAGACGTACTTACAATAAATTTTAACATACATCACCAAACAACCGGATCATTAATAGAAAAGATCCTATAGACTATTTTACTTTATATTTTATAAGTGAATTAGTAGAGAATATAATAAAAGAAATGAACTATTATGCCAATGAAAAGATAAGAAACAAACAACCCTCAGACAAATCGATTTGATACAAGTGGCACGACGTTACCAAACAAGAATTTCTAACTTTCATCGGCGTTCTAGTAAATATGGGATTGATTCATGTACCGAATGTACAAGATTATTTGTCTACTGTTTCCAATAATAAAATTCCTTTTTTTTCGAAACATTCAGTAGGGACAGATTTCTCCAAATCTTTTGGATGCTTCATTTAAGGAAATTTACACGAAGCGATGGTATGATTAGAATTTAACATATTCAAAAGGTTAACAATTATTTTGAATATATATTATAGATTCTAAATTTAGACAATATTTCATACCAGATAAATTTCTGTTGATGAATCTGCTATTAAATTTAAAGGCAGAATATCATTTATCACATACTACCTGAATAAGCCAACCAAGTGAGATATACGCATATATGCACTAACTGATTTAAAAATATCTACTTCCGATACTTCCGTAATTTGGCAGCATAATATCCGAAAACATTTCTCTGTTATTTCAGTATGTACCAGAATTCCATTACATTTATATAAAAGTTTGTTAGATAAAGTTCCTGATGCAAAAGAATATGTATACCGACAGATACTACACTAGCATTACTTTAGCAGAAGAATTGCAAAAATAAAATGTTATCTTACTATCACAATAAAAGTTAACCGAAAAGGAATACCGATACAAATACAGAAACCAGTTTTTAACAAAAAAAAAAAAAAAAAAAAAAAAAAAAACATTTGCATATAGAAAAAATAACATTATCGTTTTTGCGTGAAGAGATAAGAGAATCGTCACAATGCTTAACAACTATAATAATACAGGAATGCAATCTACCTTCAGAACATTATGCAGTGGAAATGTTATATCAATCAATAAACTTGAAATTTCATATCAAATATGAACGGTATAGATCATGCGAATCAATATATTCCCACGTATATATGACGCGAGTCCTAGGTCCACATTTTCGCGACAAAGTGTTGCTGAGTTACTGGTAGGTAACGTTCGGGATGGCTCCAAGTGTAAAGGGTTAAATTTATTACCATGAAAATGAATATTATACATCAAATTGTAATAGGAACAAGCAATATAAAAAAAAGTACTAAATTTAGAGAATTCTTTAAATTTTTGTATCGGTAACAGAAGGTAGGATATGCACTAGACAAAAGTATCTTGATTACACGTGCGGACATCATAGTATTAAAGCATTCTTCATTTAAACACATTTTTCAAATATGTTGTATATTTAGGTTATGCTTAAATTCTAGATTTTTTCTATCCGTATGGAATATTGCTCGAGTCATTCCAACTTCTAAATCTAACAATCAACAAACCTAAAAATTAAATGAACAACTACAATCAGTATCCTCTTTGTGCTTGGCAAAGTTTCTGAAAGATACATATAGGCAAATCTTATTAGTTTCCTTGACGAAAACATCATCATTATATATCAGCAGTTCGACTTTAGAAAAATTCATTCAACGTTGCACTACTAGAATTTTACTAGCAAATCGATAGCATTTCGCGAACTGTTACGTCCGAACTCAACATTAAATGCTCAACTGCAATGACTCACTCAATTTCAAGACTTTCGACATTACTATTTAAATTTCATAAAATCAAATTGGACTTCATACAGCTTATGTGACTCTATTCAAATGATAGAAAACTATTTATAGCAAATTGCTATAACAGTGTGTTGCACAAGGTTTTATACCGAGGTACATTTTATTTAATAGCTACATCAACAGTATCTCTAAGTGCTTCCGAATTCAACTAACTTTTTGGTGAATGATACCATAATCTTGGCTGCATCCTAAAAACCTCTTGGTCATTGTTAACCCTTTCGCTTCGCCTGTCCAGTCCGCCGAAGTACTGTCATTGAACGGAAGCCGCGCGCCGTGAATACATTATGCCGATACTTTACAATTATTTGTTTTATCAACTGCAAGTGAAATTTTGCAATAGAAATAACTTCTCTTCGGTTGTACTTATAAAGACAATAATATGAATTTCAGACACAAATGTCTAGTATGTGGAAAAAAAATTTGCGGTACCACTTCAACGATTTTCGCGTTGTTTTTAGTGTACTTATAACCATATCGACTTTGTCTATTATGCCCATTGATTTATTGTAATCAATAGCACATTCGGGCTTAGCAACACTCTGTAGTCCTCCACATCTAGATACGGCTGCAAAACCTGCCGTATGCATAGTTGTAATCATATATACTTCTTTTTTATCTAACCACTTTATCGCTAACAAACTGTTTGATGAACGAAAGTATGCCTCTCCTTTTTTCAGATGTTTCTCAAACTTCGGCATTCCTTGCCGTCTTTTACTAACAGTCCCGCACGTATTTGTACTATTATTATGCAACAAATTAAATAATCCTGGACTTGAGTAAAAATTATCAAGATAGATTGTGTGACCGTTTCCGAAAAACGGTCGCAAAAGCGACAAAACTATCGCACCCGACTTTCCGATACCCTTGGCTGCACTTTCAATATTTGTTGACTGTCCGCAATAAACTATAACATCTTGCACATAACCCGTTTTGCAATCGCATAGCATAAAAGATTTGATACCAAATCTATTCCTTTCCGAAGGAATATACTGTCTGAATGACAAGCGGCCTTTGTACAATATAAGGCTTTCATCAATACAAAGATCTTGAAACGGATGGAATGTATCATTGAAGGATTTTCGAAACATATTGACTACATCTCTAATTATCGACTGCAGATTGCCCTTGTATATACATCATTTTGATGCCGGATATATGGTGTGATGACCCAGAAATTGTCGCGTGGCCGCCGTCTATAGGCGGCGTTCATACCCACAAGTCATATTGTGTACGCCGCTTAAAAGCGACGCTCGTACTCACAGGTCATATTTTGCGCGCCGCTTATAAGCAGCACTCGAAACGAAAGGGTTAAAGAGCTAACTGATATTTATCTTCAACTTCTTTAACGAGTAAAATTTCAAAATCAACTTTGATAAAATCCATTGGAAAAAGGTCTCATACAACTGAGAAAGAACTATTACCAGCTTGTTAATGATTTGCAAGTTTCATGGTCCAATAATGTCAAATACCTTGATATTACATTAAGTAAATACTTGAGATGGTCTTCTGACCATCCGTAGAAGACCGGATCAAGAAATCCATCAAATTCACTGATGCTTTACTTCCACAAATCTCATTGAAGTTCTTTCTAAGATGGTTTTATTAAACTTCTAGAAAATGTTTATTTGTCCGTTACTCATATACGGAATATAGAAATGGTTGAGGAAAGACGTTATATATTATATCTATAAATATTTGGAAGTATACAAAATCGACATCTTAAAATAAATATTTTGACTAATCAAGGGCACCTTTACCTGATATATTCATGAATGTTTTAATATTCCTCACATCCATAATTATGTCACCAATTTCATTGTTAGCAATTATGTTGAAAGAAACAAATTATGTTGAAAGAAACAAATTATGTTTAAAGACTCTTTGATCAAACAAACTAGAAGTATTAATATACCATACCATACTAAATTGAGATACTTTAGCTTACTGAAGACTATAGTCATTTATTTTGTAAATATTGGATTGACGCAAAAATAATTGCGAATTTATCATTTTAAGTTTGGTACTGATTCTTCTAGTTACCTTTATTTTTTGTTACAGTCACGTGATCATTTTAATCAGTGAAATGACATTACTAATTACAGCTTATGTCCATTGTTTTCATTCATTCATTAGTATTGTTCAATATAATCTCTTAAATTAATTATGGGAAAAAAGCAAATTTGGTCGATTTTGTTATATAAGTTTAAATTGGAACGTAAACCGATCGAAATATCAAATTTGTTTTCAGTGAAGAGTCAACTAGTCAACATAGAACTCAACATTGGTTCTAGAAATTTTTTGATAGAAAAGAAAGATTAAAGATGAAGAGAGTCGTAGACATCCTTCAATTATAAACAATAATTATTTCAGTTATAAATATAATTATAATTAAAAATCATTATTGAAGCGTACTTTGCGACCTCTTTTCGTTGTAATGCATGATTCGCTGATAACTGCAGCATCTTCTCATGGCGAAGTGGTAAACAGTGGAAGTATCCAATTATTTGCCATTGTTGTATAACATTCCTGCCTGGTATTGCCGATTTTCATAGTTTATAAGTCCTATCCAGATAGACTGCATGATTTCATGAAACGGACTCATTTAGCTTCTCTAAAAGAATGACCGTCTTCATTCAGTTTCTATAGCTTGTTTCAATGAGATCACTGCCAAGGAAAAATCATCTCCTGTGCTAACCATGCACGGCTTAGATTCCTTTTGGTATCGAAAAGCAGTTTTCCAATCTAACGAAGTACAAACACGTTGTGGTGTAACTTCTGTTTCCACTTCGTCTACAACGTTTCATCAACGTTTTTGACCATCTCATCACTTCAAATCGCTCTTCTTTCACTGTACCAAGTTCAACGCCTTGTCGGAGAAGTATTAAGAAATGCTAAGAAGGGATCCCTTCCTCATCAGCGTTTGGTCCGGCAATTTCATCTGCCTGACAATAACAACATTTTGCCAATAAATAGGCGTTTGCAGCATCGCCCCTGGCTTACTCTTATAGACATTCTACGCTTTTTCCAAAGAAGCATCATCTCACGTTATCACCGATAACACTCATTATCGCCTGTTATATGTTGGCATCTTGGCGTCTTACGCATTCATACGGTGCAACTTCTAAATAACGTCAAGAGCCTTTATTTTCGCGCGTGCAATTGTTACTCTATGCAAATCTGCAAACTGAAGGTCATCATGCAACTTCTGAACCATCTTCCTTAGAAGCGAGTCATTACAGCCAGCGCTTTTCTCTCGTGGCCTACTTGGTCGTTCTTCCTTATTAGCACTCGCCTACGCAGAGCGATAGTCATAAAAACTTCTCTAGTCATCTTCATCTTGTCGTATCACCATCAAAGCAGTGCAAAACAATGCCGAGTAATACAATTTCATCAGATTTATTTATGAGAACTTGATCTCAGAAGATTTATTGGAACAAAGATTCTATCCATTTATTATTAGTATGGATAGAATTTTTGCTGTAAAGTGTAAATTCATTAATCTCCATGTTCGTTTCAAAACATTTGCAATGCAAAAAAAGACTGGAGAAATAGATGAATATTGCGAGCATTGATGAAAGAGCTATAATATTTTACAAGATTTTTTCGATGTTAAGGAACGTTTTCTCTACAGTCCTGGTATAGTTAATTAGGAGTAAGATACTGAAATTAGTTATTATCAACTATAATTTCGGTCGTATTAAGTGTAACAGGATGGAAAACTTTAAATACGTTTTTTTCAAAACATTTTTCAAATTGGGCGAAAAAAGACTAGACCAATTGACTTGAAATTTTGCACATATATCAAGTGAATATGAATCTATAGCTGGGATTATAATTATAGTGATAGTTTGGATATTTCTCTTCTGTATCTTTATTCTAGTTAAAACTTTCTAAAAAAATCGAACCTCAATTCCTGTAGTTAATTTAATTAGTTTTAGTGATAACTAATTTAGTTTGAGTGATAACTATATTCATAGGTTTAATAAATTTTTGTTTTTTTGTTTCAAACGACTAAAACGTAATTCGTGCGCCCAATTAAACTAGCATTTTATAACATGAGCTGCACATCGACATGCAACATGTACCTTTTTCTTATAAAAATTTTTATAAAAGTTTAAATATTGTGTATATTTAATATTATATTATGGATACAAATATATCTATTAGGGAGAAAATTATGTATAGGTGTTAAAATTAATATTATTATTATGTTTATTAAATATTTGTCGATAAGGACAATGTAAATATTTTTCAAAATGGCAGATAGTTTCATTAAAAATATTCTCTTGTTTTTATTTTGTACATTAGCAAAGAATGCTAGTAGTAGCAAGAACGAGAGTGACACAAGAGAGTATGTATATATTTCATTAATAATAAAATTGATTTTATGCACAGTAAAAAAAATCTAAAACAGTTTTTTAGAAAACGATAAATATTGTCATTTTAAATATTTTCTTCTCTTCCTTTTTTTTTTTATTTGTAAATGTGAACGAATATAGACTTATTAAAGAGAAATGTATGTACGTACAGAATATTACGCCAGAACAAGGAGGATTAGTACATCTTCGCAGAAGTGAAGAATCATATCGTAAGATGTCCAGAGAATTTGAACTATCGATGATGACATGTCACCAACCTATAAAATATATTGAACATCACAGAACTTCAGATAACCTGCCTCGTAAAGCGAGACCTCGAAAAACCGATATGAGAACAGATCAAAAAATTCATTATTTAAATTTGATAGATCATTTGAATTTGATAGATTTAAGACTGCTGTCGATATTCACAAGGAAATATCTATAAATTTGGATACATAAATAAGTATTCGGACTATTCGACGAAGATTGAATGAGCTTCAATTAAATGGACGTATTGCAAGAAAAAATCATTCTATCAGAAAAAAATCAACCAGCTACAATTGAAAAGAACATCTTAATTGAATGCCTCAACAGTGGTTAAAAGTTGTATTCACCAATGAATCTAAATTTAATAGGCTTAGATCTGATGGAAAAATGTATATCAAACATTATATAGGCGAAGAATAAAGTAAACGTTATCTAAAACAAACTATAAAAGGTGATATTAAATGGGTGCTAGTCTAGGGTGCTATGACTGTGAACGGCTCAGGCCCTATTCGTTAAATCGAAGGAATAATGGACAAATTTAATTCATACTTAAATATTGTAAAACTTAATTATTGAATATTGTAAAAAATAAGTATTGCAATTAATTCTATTTACCGAAGAGTACAATACACTGGATGTGTAATAAATACATTTTTAAATAAACAAGATATTAATGTGATAAACACAATCTCCGGACTTAAATCCTATAGAAATGTTATGGATTGACGTGGATAAACGTGTGAAGAAACATAAACCAAAAAATATTAACAATTTGTATACCAGGATAGAAGAAGCTTGGGTTTCATACCAATTAGTCGATGTATTCGGCTTATCGAATCTGCCACGCAGGTGTGATGTTTTTAGAAATAAAGGTTTAGGTACTAAATATTAATCATAAGTAGGTTGTTATTATTATTATAAATTAAAACTATTTGTGAAAATATAAATATTTCTTTATGTACGTAAGAACGTTTCTGCAAGAAATTGCTCTTCAACAAAAAAATGCATGGATCTTCTTAGTTATAATAAATTAAAAAAGCTTACTTTTTCTTTTATAAAGTATCCTATAAAGTATGTAAAAATTAAAACTGCTTTTATTTAACTATTAAATGTGCAAATACATAGCAAAACAAATTTGATTTTGTTAACCGTACATATGTGGCCACCACTGTATACGAAAATAATAATAATATTAATTTCTCAAATACTTGGTGAAAAATAAGGAAAATGCACAACAATTTTAAAAATGATAGTGAATAATTTTATTTAAAATAGTTTTTCTTTTTATTTCTCTATATAAATGTAGATAGAAAAAGATCTATGTGCCGTATATGTTTACTTAACTTGTAATGAGATTAATATTAAGTATTTATCGATAATACATATATAAAACAATTTTCAGAATCGCTAATATATAAGATGTTTATATAATTTCAGAAAATTTAATCACGAAAGCTCTTTCATGAAATAATATAATTAAATGTTTAGGAATATATAGCAGGATTTCGAAAATAAACTTCTCTTTATTTAATGAGACAACAAGAAATCAACTAAAAAATTTCAAACCATCTTTCTAAAAATTTCAATTTATCGATATCCGTATGTATGTAGTATACAAACACACACACATACAGACACGAAAGCAAAGATCCCTATTATGTCCTCGCCTTTATGACAAATTGTACAAACGTATTAAATTCGACCAGTGCAGGAGAATCATTCAATAAACGTTCGAACATACACCGCACAAAGTTTGCATTGATATTTATGTGAATATAAAGGTACGACGTATTATTATAATGCTGCTAAACTTGTAAAAATTGTTCAATG